CGCCCAGCAACGACAGTCATGAAACAGCCCTCCTGCTCCCGCACATACGGCCCTGTGCAGCGAGGCAGAGGTGGGCTTTAAACAAGTGAGTCAGACAAGGACATCTTATTCATCACTCCAGCGAACCCACAGGCTGAACCCTTGAATCACTACGTTATTTATCATCGGGCTCCAGCTCAGAAAGTCTCGCCGAGAAAATGAGTAGAACCCAAACTCGTCAGTTGCATTTCTGAAACATGCCTAATCTCTGAGGCTCTTTCCCGGCCACAGTGGAAACTGAAAGGGAACGGAGCTCTGGGCTGCGGCGGTGGGCTGGTGCAGAGACAGAGCCCTTTGTTCTGCCACTCCAGGGACCACGAGGGCAGAAGAGAAGGGCTTGTCTTGCTATGCTGAGAGGCTGCCTGGAGCTGTCTGAATGGCCAACCGAGCAGGGGCAGCCTGGCACAGCTGGGCTGGGGATGCCGGGCACACAAAGGGCCGGTGGGTGGGGTGCAGGGGCAGCAGAAGGGACCGTCAGTCCTGTAGCCCCAGACTGTCTCCTCTGATCAAGGTGAAGCAGCAAAGTCATGGTCAAGGACAGAGCCAAGCAGGGAAGGGGACAGCAAGGGGAAAATGTACCAAGAACAAAAATTCAGCAGTGTGTGCTTGGGAACGGGCAGGCAAAAGGGCCCACGGAAGAGATAATGCAACTTTACAAAAGCTATGTTTATCCGGGGTAACCTCCAAAGTAGCTCTTGGGAGAGAATCTAATACCTCTAATCTCAGGAGAAAAGCAACAGATTGTTCTAAGGTGAGGACAGTTCCTCCAGAAATCCAGGTCAGTCACAAGACAAAGAAGAGAAAGACAAGGGCACCCGCTGTCCACCCTCGGGCACGCTGCCTAACTCCCCCTTGGTCCATTTCTAACGGCTCCTCCTTTTTCTCGAGTCCCGCTCCCTCCTGATTAAGACTGACTGGATGGCAGAATTCAGTTCCTAGTCTCTGCCCCCGTTCCCACTATTAGTGGCAGTTTCTCAGGGGTGCCACCAACACCAAGGAACCACCGAGGCAATGGTGGGCCCTGGAGGGGAACCAGGTTTTACTAATGAGAATCCAATTTCACCTGCGGAGGTGAATCTGTTCCCAGGGCACACGTGGCTGTGGCTGGAGTCATTTTCAGCTGTTACAACTTGTGGGGGAAGAAATACTATTGGCATCTCATGGGTGACAGCCAGGGATGCTGTTTCACATACTACAGTGCACAGCACAGCCCCAAATGTCAAAGGTGGTATAGTTGACAAAATGCCCTAGAGATTTGGGCTTCCCCGGTCAAAGGTTACTAAGCATCCTGAATGTTTCTAGAAAGCTCAAGATGCCATCTCTGAAGTCATCACCTGTCTGGGCCTGTTTCTGTATCAGGAAGATAAGAACAAGGACCCTGGTACTGCTGACTGACAGAATGAGCAAGCTGGGACATTATAGATCAGGCTTCAAAGGCATCTCCTTGTGCAACCCCTTCTGCCTGGTGTGGTTTAACACGTGGTATCTTTCCGGGTTTACCTGGGACCAGCCACTATCTCTGAGGAAAGTTGCTAGAATCCCCTTTGTCCTAAAGCTTGCATTGGTGGTTCCTAATTCTGCCCCCGTAATATCTTGTGACCCCTCTGTTGCTGTACTAATGACCTGATCTGAACTCCATTTTCTTCTTTTTTTTTAATTTTAGAGGGAAGTCTCACTCTGTCACCCAGGCTGGAGTACAGTGGCACCATCTTGGCTAGCTGCAACCTCAGTCTCCTAGGTTCAAGCAATTCTCCTGTCTCAGCCTCCTGGGTTGAGACTGGAGGGACGACAGCCGTGTGCCACCATGCCTGCCTAATTTTTGTATTTTTAGTAGAGACAGGGTTTCTCCATATTGGTCAGGCTAGTCTTGAACTTCTGACATCAGGTGATCCACCTGCCTCAGCCTCCCAAACTGCTGGGAATGCAGGTGTGAGCCACTGTGCCCAGCCTGAACTCTACTTTTTCTGAAGGGGAAGTGCAAGGTATTTTTGGGGGTGGGAGGGCACTAGCATGTCCCTCCCCCAGGGTATGAAGCTTCACCTCTGTCCCCAGGAATCTACGATGCACCTGACACTATCGACCCTTGCATAACTGAAATCTCGGCCCAACCAAGACACACCACTTGGAATAAATGAAGAATGGGAAGCAGCAAGTTAATGAGTCCCTGTGGGGAGAGAATAATGAATCCTACAGGCAAACAGAAAGGGGAGATTCCCAAGTCTCCACCTGCTCCACTGAGTCACCAGGCTGGACCCCAGGGAGAGTACTGCCTTGGGATTTCCAGCAATTCGCAGTTCCAAAGCTTTGGGAACAGGTGCAACGTGCAAAAGCACCTTGGACACCGAAATTTTCTATTTGGACGATGAAGACGAGGTTAAAAAAAAAAAATCAGTTTTGGATATAAACTGTAGAATGGAAAAAGGAACAAAAGTAGGATCGCCGTAGCACGGAATGGAGCTTGGGGGTGCTGTGTGGAGTTCAAGGCCAGGACTGGAGGGGGACAGGGACTGGAGACAAGATGGTGATGAGGTGAGTTGGGTTTCAAGGTTGAAAAATGCTGATGGAGATCAATTCATTCATTTTGCAGGGGAGAGGTCAGAAATAGGCACAGAGACTTGAGCAAAGCCAGGATCTCCAACACAGTGCTCCCTCCAGAAGACACAGCTTGGCCGTTCTCCAGGAGCACGGAAGAGGTGATCGCAGGCCTATGGGATCAAAAGATCCAGTCCTGTTCAACCGGGTGTCTTGGCCAGGGCAAGCCCACAGTTCAATGCCTGCAGGACTGCATGTCCTGGGGCAAGCCAGGCTGAAAGCCACCTTTTCTAAAGGCCAGAATATTCTGGAAATCGAGGGGGTGCTTATCTTTCTGTGGCCCTCTTGATATTCAAACTATCCAGGTTAATCTCCTGAATGAGCTATAAACTAGTTATAACCTGGGGTTCCCCAGCCTTTCTGGCAGATCCCAGATAAAGATCCCTATAGTCGTGAATGGGGAGAAATGAATGCCAATCAAAACCACCCTGCAAAGTCCCTGCCAGGGCCACAAGAGCCAGGCCTGTCAGATGTGAAGAACTTTCCTGTCACCCAGGTCACCTCCGGCTGCTCCTGGACACCTTAAGATTTTGAAGATTCCAATACCAAAAAACGAAGCAAGCTGGGACTCTCCAACGGCAAAGCACGGTGTCCCCACTGGCTCCCACCTCAAAGAGTCACAGAGAAGTCTTCCCTTAAAGACCCCTGGCCTCCAGGGTGCCCAGGAAAGAAAGAAGGGCTCGTGGCTGGCATGCCTCTCCAGGGCTGAGCTCAGAGCAACCGGGGGACAGATTTCCTGTATGTCGTTTTACTCATTTAAGTCCAAGGATGCAGCTCTGCGGAGGTGGTGACAGTCCTGTACATGAGGGTGCACGCACACTCCCTCCTGAAACACAGTTCCGGACGCACGGCCGGCCTTGAGGTCCCTTCCTTGCACCCAGGGACCCCCAGAATCCCGCTAGCCCTGTCTTAAGAGGAGGGTGGTGCAGTTTCCAAGACCAAAAGACTGGCACATAGGGTGTTGGGACTCATCCCGGGTCACCCAGCTGTTGGGTGTGAAGTCAGGAAGGACATGAATCAAGAGGGGAGGGTGGGGGGACGGAATCTCCAGAGGCTGCACCTTAACATCTGCACGGGGCCACTCTGACCCCTTCCTTCTCTTCCCTCTTCTCCGGGGCCCTCCCTCCCTGAACCTACACTCAGTTCTTACCCTGACTTCTACTCCGTTTACTTCCCTTCCAGCTCCCATTTCCCCGCTTCCCAATAGCTGCCTCATCAGTAAGTTCAGAACCCCCGCATTTACTGAGCGCCCACTGGGGGCCAGGTACCGCCCTCTTCTCAGACACCCTTCCTTCAATCGCGCGGGCAGACGCCCCAGATCAGTCCCGCACCCCTTCCCCCAATCGCACCCCAGCTGTCCCGCCACTCGCCTTACCCACTCCCCCAACCTGGGCCTCTCGTTCCCGCCTCCTTGCCTCCCCACAACGCCGTTTCCTGCGACCCCCCAATTACCACTTAAGCCACGTCCTCTTCAGAGAAGCAGCTCAAAGCCACAAGACTCACCCCCCCACGCCCGCAAACTCTCTCACCAGCTCCCCATCCATTTTCTCCTTCATCAGGTCGCTTCCACCTCATCCCCAGTAACCTCTCCACGACCCTCAGAATCGTTCCCGCCCCCTCGACCCCTGCCAGCGCGTCCCCCATTAGCGCTCAGCTCCGTCCCTCTTCTCCGTAGTCCCCAAAGGCACGCTTCGAGCTCGAGTAGCCAACCCGAGGCCGCCTGGAACTCACCTGGCCTCGGCCACCGCGCGCCGCCGGTCCCGGGCCGGGTCCCCGGGCGGATGACCGCCTGCCCGCCCGCCACTGCTCAGGCCGCTCCGCCCCGCCGCGCCCGCCGCTCCCCCGCGCGCTCCCGCTTCCGGGTTCCGGAGGGGCGGGGACAGGGGCGTGACGCTAGCGCGCCTAGGGGCGGAGCATCGCGAAAAGCCCCGCCCCTACTTTCCGACAGATCAGGCCCCACCCACCGCACCACCCCTACCGCCCCTGGTGGGCGAGACCAAGCGCGAGGGGAGGACAGGCGGCGCGCGTCGGGGGCCGCGCTCTTCGCACGCAGCCGGCGCTGCCCCACGCCCCGTAGCTTCACCTGCTGCAGCTCCACAAATGGTCCGGCCCGCAAGCAAGGGGGCGTGTCGGGCTTTGAAAAGCCGGCGGGTCCGGGCTTGAGGAGGAAGGCGGGAAAATGGCGGATTCTTTGGGGCGCGGAGCTGGGTGAGTTGAGGCGCCCGCAGGTCTGGATTTGTGGACGCCAGAGGACTGGAGAGGACGGGCAGCGGAGTTGGGGACTGGGGACCCTTGGGGTGAGTCTGGGTTCCACCCTTCCAGGAACTGCGCAGGTCACTGAAGACCCCAATGCGCGCGGCCTCTGCGCATGCTCCGGCGCGCAGCTACGCGACCTGCCCGGAGTTCCGCGTCCTCCGCCGGGACGCGGGGCGACCTCGGGCCAGCTGTCTGACCGCTCATTGCCTCCCTTTCTTCCGCTACGAAATGGGGCTGATGACGTACTCAGTCTCGTAGGCGTCGCGTGAGGCTGAAACGCGCTTAGATCGGCGCTTGGGTCTTGACTGGGATGTCTCTCTTGGAATTACCGCTATGCAGTGAACAAGTGGTGGGCGACCAAAATGTCCCCTTTACTCCTCCCACGTGCTTTATTCTGTGCTCCCAGTTTACTGAGGAGATGATGGAGACCCAGGGAGGGGAAGTGACTTCCCTAGGATAACACAGCACGGACAAGAAAGAAGGTGAACACTGGCCGAGAGCTAGGCATGGCCCTGAGGCTGTATTTGTCTAGTTTTGTTCATTTTACCAGCGTTGATTGTGCCAGGTGCAAATTGAAGTGAAATTGGCCGGCGAGATGAATCACTGCACCGCCCTTTGCCGTAACCAATAAATTGACAGCACCTCCCAGGTACCGGTGAAGTCCCTGAGGCTCGCACAGGTGTAGGAATTCCCCTCAGGTCGCAGCAGGTTCACCGAGGAGCCCATTCGGTTTGAGGCCACAGCCCTGGCTCAGACCCCAGAGGGAATCCGTGCTCTGTCTTTTTGTGGCTCTGAGACTGCCCGGGGGTGGCCTATGTAAGACCTGTGTGTCTGTTTTGCGGCGAGGAGAAAGCAGATATAAACAGTTAGGAAGCTGACAGGTTAGGAGGAGCCTGTGAGGGGCTCACTTTGGAGTCCTGGGAGCCTGCTTCGGAGGCGGCGGCTGCGGGGACCAGTGGAGCCACCCTTGGTGATGGGGGCAAGAGTTACAGTGCCCTGGCCTCGGCCCTGTCCCTCCTCTTTTGCTAGTGTCTGTTCTGGCTCCCTCCTCTTCCCACTAGCTCAGGCTGAAACCCTGAGTCATCCCGGACTCTCCCTCTCCTGCACCCCCACAGCTGGTGAGTCAGCGATTCCTATCTCAGGGTCCCTTCTTTCCTATTACATCAAGCTTGATTCATTCCATTTTTATTTTTATTTTTGAGATGGAGTCTCACCTATCACCCAGGCTAGAGTGCTGTTTGTCCTTCGCCAGGCTCACTGCAACCTCCACCTCCGAAGTTCAAGCGATTCTCCTCCCTACCATGCCCAGCTAATTTTTGTATTTTTAGTAGAGACAGGGTTTCGCCATGTTAGCCAGGCTGGTCTCCAACTCCCGACCTCTGGTGATCCACCTGTCTTGTCCTCCCAAAGTGCTGGGATTATGGGTGTGAGCTACTGTGTCTGGCCCATTCATTCTATTTTTAAATTGAGGTGAAATTCACATAACATGAAGTTAGTGCTTTTAAGTGACTTTTGTACGTTCCTAATGTGTGAAACCATTGCTTTTATTCTGGTTTCAGAAGATTTTTTTTTTATCACTTCTGAAGGAAACCTGTTCCCATTAGCCATTCCCCATTCCCCATTCCCTCTGCCCCACTACCTCTCAGCCACCTATCCACTTTCTGTCTCTTTGGATTGCCCTATTCAGGACATTTCATGGAACTGGATCCTGTACTTTGTGCTCTTTTCTATCTGGCTTCTCTCAGCACAGTGTTTCTGAGGTTCATCTTTTTTTTTTTTTTTTTGATACGGAGTCTTGCTGTGTGGCTCAGCCTGGATTGCAGTGGCTCAATCTCAGCTCGCTTCAACTTCCGTCTCCCAGGTTCAAGCCATTCTCCTGCCTCAGCCTCCCAAGTAGCTAGGACTACAGGTGCACACCACCACACCTGGCTAATTTTTGTATTTTTAGTAGAGATGGGGTTTCGCCATATTGGCCAGGCTGGTCTTGAACTCCTGACCTTACAATCTGCCTGCCTCAGCCTCCCAAAGTGCTGGGATTACAGGTGTGAGGCACCACACCCCACCCAAGGTTCATCTTTATTGGAGTCTGTCCAGACTTCCTTATTCCTTTGTAGGGCTGAATAACGTTCAGGTTTTCTTATTTTTGGACATCTGTATTCTCTGTCTTCCATCCTGTACTTCAGTCATCCCTTCACTTTGGCACTATTGACTTCTGGGGCTGGATCCTTCTCTGGGAGGAGGGCCGTCCAGTTTGTTTTATTGTAGGGTGTTGAGCAGCACCCCTGGCCTCCACTTAACTCTGCTAATAGCACTCCCTGTGTGACTATCAGTAGTGTCTTCAGATCCGATAGGGTTAGGGTCCTTATCGGAAGAGACACCAGACTCCAGTGAGCACACAGGGAGATGGCAGCCGCCTGCAAGCCCAGAGCATGAAACCTACCTTGCCAGCATCTTGATCTCAGACCTTTTGACCTCCAGAAGTATGGGAATTAAAATTACGTTCTCTAAACAGGGCACAGTGGCTCATGCTTGTAATCCTAGCACTTTGGGAGGCCTAAGTGAGTGGGTTGCTTGAGACCAGCCTGGGCAACATGGTGAAATCCTGTCTACTAAAAGCATTAAAAAAAAAATCAGGCAGGCGTGGTGATGTGCGCCTGTAGTCCCACTACTCAGGAGGCTGAGGTGGGAAGATTATTGGAGGTTGGGAGATGGAGGTTGCAGTGAGCTGAGATCGTGCTACTGCGCTCTGTCTGGGTGACAGAGCAAGATCCTGTCTCAATAAAATAGAATAATGTTTAAAACCAGGAAGAGACACCAGACAGCTCACTTGCTCACACTCCTCCTCCACGCGCTTATGAAAAAGAGATCCTGTGAGCACACTGGTGTTGAATATGAGCTGGTATTTTGCAGCCCAAGTGAGGAGCAATGGCAGACTAGTCCTTGCCCTTCTAGAACTTTGTAGCCTGTCTTCCTACCAGCTGCCAGTTGTGTATGAAATACCATTGATATTGTCATCTCCTGTATCTAACCCCTCCCCATTCTCCTGTTGTCCATAGCAGGGCTGCACTATCTTCAGACCGCAGGTGAAGCCAGAGTATCCCCCTTTTTTGTATGGCTGGTAGCTAAGAACAGCTTATGCTTTTTTTTCCCTTTTTTTGAGAGAGTCTCACTTGATCACCCAGGCTGGAGTGCAGTGGTGTGATCTCAGCTCAATGCAGCCTCCACCTCTTGGGTTCAAGTGATTATTGTGCCTCAGTCCCCCCAAATAGCTGGAATTACAGGCACACGCCACCACACCCGTCTAATTTTGACATTTTTAGTAGAGACAGGGTTTTGCCATGTTGGCCAGGGCTGGTCTCGATTGCCTGGCCTCTAGTGATCCGCCTGCCTCGGCGTCCCAAGGTGTTGGGATTACAGGTGTGAGCCCCTGTGCTGGACCTGTTGGCTTGTATATTTTTAAATGGTTGTTTAAAGAAAAAGTAAAGAATTTTTTGTGACATGTGAAAACTGTATGGAATTCAAATGTCATTGTCTGTAAGTCTCAGAATTCAGCCTCCACCAGACTGGCCTAGCTCTGTATCCTCTCCAGCTGTCCTGTCCTCATTTATCTTCTGAAACTAAACCACAGGACTGAGCAATTCCTGTATCTCCATCAATCCCTCCTGCCCCAGTACCCAGGCCCTTGTTGAACCCTCGTCTTAGGATGTCCTCTGTCGCGTGTCTGAGCTTACTGTGCTTTGTCATACCTGTCCCCCCGATCCCTGTACCTGCTGGGACCACTCCTCAGATCTTCCTGTCAAGATGCTGATCTTCCCTTTCTGGGAAGGAGCTCCGTGTTTTGTGTCTCTGCTGGTATACAGTAGGCGCATCCATGTCTGGTGAATGAATGAACACAGGGCTAATTTGAGATCTGCTGCAGTCTCTTCCATGGAGCTCTCGTCTCCCTCCTCCCTTCTCAGTTTGGGCGTTCACCTACGCCCTGTTGCCCAGGTGACCGGGGCTGGCTGCTCCTTGTGTCCCTCTTCCTGTTGAGGTGGCCCAGCCTCACCGAGATTGTCCTCGGGCAGCCCTGGGATTAGGCTGTCTGAGCTTCAACTAGCAGAGGCACCTTGCTGGGTTTCCTGTGCTGCTTGGGCAGTGAGATGAACAAGACCTGTCTCTCTCCTCTTGCAGGAAGCCTGCGACCGGCCCCACCAATCCTGGCAGCGCCAAGAAGAAGGAGAAGAGAGTTCAAGGTGAGCAATGTCAGGGTCTCTTTAAGGAAAATGGTTTTCTTCTTTCATGAGGTGCTTTTGGAGGAAGAAAAAAGAGGCCAGAAAAGGGGGCCTGTGGCTTTACTTCCTTGTAGTCACACCTCTGTGGTGAGGGATATGTCAGGAATGGTGGTGGTCATTTTAAGCAGTGGTTTCCCTTGTAGACATGGGGGTAATGGGCTGTATCCGGGACATGTCCCCTAGAAGCATGGGTATGGAGACTGGAGATCGTTATCTAAAATCAAACTCTCCTTTTTTTTTTTTTTTTTTTTTAGAAATGGTCTTGCTATGTTGCCCAGGCAGGTCTCAAACTCCTGACCTCAAGTGATCCTCTTGCCTCTGCCTCCCAAAGTGTTGGGATTACAAGTGTGAGCCACCACTCCCGGCCTGAAATCAAACTCTCAATTTCCCCTGTGTGAATGTGTCAGTCTCACGAGGGGTGCTTGTATGTCTGATTTCCACCTGTTGGTCTGGGATCACTGTTTTTTTTTCTTTGAGATAGAGTTTTTTTGAGATAGAGCCTAGGTCCTCTGTCACCTAGGACCTAGGCTGGAATGCAGTGGCGCAATGTCGGCTCACTGCAACCTCTGCCTCCTGGGTTCAAGCAATTCTCCTGCCTCAGCCTCCTAGTAGCTCAGCCTCCCAAAGTGCTGGGATTACAGGCATGAGTCACTGCACCTGGCCTAGGGTCAGTGTTAACAGCCACTCCTGTCATTGACTCATATGAGCGAAGATCGTACCACTGCACTCCAGCCTGGGCGACAGAGTGAGACTCTGTCTCAAAACACAAAAAGAGGAAGTGGTCAGCTGACATGGTAGATTCTGGAGTCCGTCACTGGAGGCCGAGACTGATACAGTGCAGTATTTTCGCAGTGTGTGCAGTGTCGCAGGGCTCAATGCGGTAGAGCTTAGAGCAGGGTTTTCGTTCCAAGCGAAGCTAAGTTTGTATGTTACAGCACCGCTGTGCGCTGTCTTTTCATTTCCTGACCACTTATTCCCAAGTTTTGTTTTTGTTTTTTGAGACAAAGCTTTGCTCTTGTTGCCCAGGCTGGGGTGCAATGGCACGATCTCACTGCAACCTCTGCCTCCCAGGTTCAAGTGATGCTTCTGCCCCAGCCTCCCGAATAGATGGGATTATAGGCGCCTGCCACCATGCCTGGCTAATTCTGTATTTTTAGTAGAGACAGGGCTTCACCATGTTGGTCAGGCTGGTTTTGAACTCCTAATCTCAGGTGATCTGCCCACCTTGGCCTCCCAAAGTGCTGGGATTACAGGCGTGAGCCACCGTGCCCGGCTACTCTCAAATTCTAAACATTGCATGTTAATCTCGCATGTGACACCTGCCATATTTATGAGCTACCTTGTTTTTGGACAAGAATTGTATTCTCCTTTAAAACATTGCTTCTGTGGAAAATTTAGCCTGTTTATTTTATTTGTTTGTTTGTTTATGTATTTATTTTTTTTGAGATAGAGTTTCGCTCTGTCATCCAGGCAGGAGAGCAGTGGCGCAATCTGCTCGCTGTAGCCTCCGCTTCCTGGGTTCAAGCCATTCTCTGCCTCTGCCACACGAATAGCTAGGATTCCAGGAATGCGCCACCACCCTGGCCCAGTTTTGTATTTTTAGTAGAGACGGGGTTGCGCCATGTTGGCCAGGCTGGTCTCAAACTCTTGACCTCAAGTGATCTGTCCACTCAGCCTCCCAGAGTTCTGGGATTACAGGCATGAGCCTGTAAAAACAAACAGTTGTATTCTGGTTTCCTGGAAAGTTGAAAGTGCTTTTCTTCCCCCACTGTCCAAGGCAGCCCAAGCCTGAGATTCTCCTTGTTAAAAACTGCTGGTGGAGTTAGAAAGACCCGGGCAGGGCAGCCTCTCTGCTGGGAACTGGGGGTGTCCTTTACCTCGGCTGTTGGGTCACCATCCAGGGGCAGACTATTTGTGTGGCTTGGTTCTGTCCCTGGGACCCTGCCTGGTCCTGCCTCAGTCCTCACATACCTGCACCGTGAGACTGGTCCCCCGATTGTCCTCATCTGCTGCAGCCACCTGCTGACTCTGCAGCCCTGGCACATTCCTGCTCTGGGGCCACCCAGATTGACAGCCTAGCCCTTTGGCTGACTGCAGGATCCTTGTTCAGTGTGAGGGCACTTCCTTTCCTCTCAGGGTAGCAGCTGCACCCCCGATCCCCAACAGAAGAATCAGCCAGCACAAAGATATGGGCAAAGACACAGTCTCACTTGGCTGAACTCTCAAGCTGTGTGACATTGAGCAGGTCACTCTCCCTGGTCTCTTCAGTACAAAGGCCTCTGGGCTCTACGGCACCAATATGCTGCAGAAAATTCATTTGACCTGGTCCTGGGTGCCTACCCCATGCCAGGTGGTGGAACGTAGCAGCGAGCGAGGGAGACAAAAATCCCGGGCCCCTGGGGGCTCTAGGGAGGAGGTGGGCAGTGCGTGAGAATCGTCAGATGATGACAGATGCTGTGACGGAATGGCAGGCGGGGCAGGCATGCTGGGGTCTGAGCTGAGCACGACCTTGAGACAGGGAGGTACCTGTGGGGGGGAGGCACAGCAAGGGGGTCCACAGAGCAGATCGGCTGAATAGGGCAAGTGAGGGGTGACAGGGTGACAAGAGGCAAGTTGCTGGTGGCACAGGGCCCCGAATATTCCTGGAGGCACTCAGGCTTCCTGAGCCCAGAGACCCAGCAGGCCAGCCTACCTCAGCCCCGAGGGGCAGCTGGGGGCCGATGGAAGGTATCGCACAGGAGGAAGTGAGCCATGATAGTGCCTAGAGCTCAGATGACCAGACTGAGAATGGGCCGGTGGGCTCAGAAGCAAGGGACATCGTGGTGGTCTTGTCCAAAGTGTTAAGTTCTGGTGCGGCAGTGTGTCTGCAAGCTGGATTGCTGGGGAAGGGATTCAAGGGAAGAAGCAAGGAGAGGGAGAGGAGCTGGTGACAAAGAACTATGCCGTGTTTGCTGTCGAGGGGATGGGAGAAATCAGGGGAGGCAGAGGGTGCAGGTGGGGGAAGAATGACCTGCAGCATGTGGTGGAGAGAGGAGCTGTGGGCACTCAGGCAGGGAGGTGGGAGTTATGAGTGTTTCCTTTTTGAAGTAAGGGCTGGGCTTTAGCGCCCAGAATGGAGGGTAGTTTATCTGGGAGCACAGAGGTCCATTCATGGGACTGGAGGATGTAGCCCTTAGGACTGGAGGTGGCTGGATGTGGTGGTGGGAGGATCTCCTGGGGTCACCAGCTGAGACTGAGGGTGTGGCCAGGTGGAGGAGGTGGGAGGAACAGGTTTGAGAGAGGGTCCAGGAGAGGGCTGGGGGACAGAATGGGACCAACTGGATCCAGTCCAGACCCAGCCTCTACCCCCAGAAGCTGGGGTAACAGGTGGCATTTGTTCCATCCACAGTCACCCTCCTAGGAGTAGCCCTGGAAGGGGACCTGGGGTCGGGCTGTCACCAGGGATTTGGCTCTGTCTGAAAAGGGCCTGGGTGGTGGGCTTGTCTCAGGGCAGGGGGTCCCAAATTGAGTAAGGGGCAGGGGTAGTAAAAGATGGTACCAGGAGTGTGTCCTAGACACATGCACATGGGGAAGGAACTGTTGGGGTCACGGTGAGGGGACCGAGCTGGGAGGAAGGCATAAGCCACCTAGAGGCCGTCAGCAAAAGTTCTTTCTGCTTTCCCTCCCCCCTTGTCTGAGTACACGTGCAGCTTTGACCTTGGGGCATGTTCCTTGATCTTAGGAACTTCCTCAGGAAGTCTGGGACTCCACACCTGCCTTGGGACTTGCATACAGTAGGTGTCCCATGCATGCTCGAGGCTGGTGAAGGACTGGTCAGGGGGAGCAGGAGGAGTGATAACTCCCCCTGTTCGGTCACTGAGTGGGGAGGGCCCCGGCATTGGCTCTCTGAGGCATGGGGTCTGGGTGTGTAGGGTCTTGAGTCCTTTGTATCCCCACAGGTGGAAGAGTGGTTGAGTCCCGATACCTGCAGTATGAAAAGAAGACAGCCCAAAAGGTAAGGCAGTGCCCAGCTTCTGTGTGCAGCCGTTCTGAGCATGGCTCTGAGTCACTGGAATTCGGAAACTAGTCACCGGAGGTGCTCACAACCCGGTCCTGAAGGAAGCGTTTTGGGGTCTTCACCTAGGTGCTTTTGAGATCGTTAGCCCCCCATGCTGCCAGTTGTGTCTGTCATTGGCGGCTCATGGCTATACGCATCTCTTTTACAAAGCTGTGATCTCCGTTGAAACATAATTCTGTTCTTACCTTGTTCTGTTTTTGTTTTTGAGACAAGGTCTCTTTCTCACCCAGGCCGGGATGGAGTGGCACCATCACATCTCACTGCAGCCTCAGCCTCCCAGGCTCAAACCATCTTCCCACCTGAGCCTCCTGAGTAGCTGGCACCAAAGGCATGTGCTGCCACACAAGCTAATTTCGAAAAGTTTTTGTAGGGACCGGGTCTCCCTAAGTTACCCAGCCTGGTCTTGAGCTCTTGAGCTCAAGCGATCCTCCCACCTTGGCTTCCCAAAGTGTTGGGATTATAAGCATGAGCCCTCGCGCCCAGTCTGTTCTTGGCCTTTCAACCCAGTTAATTCACTTTCTGGATTCTGAAGCTGTATTATCCAGTGCCCACCGCACAGTTCTTGGTGTCTAGCTGTTATTTAAAGAAAACAGCTACCTGCCAGGAGCGGTGGTTCACTTCTGTAATCCCAGCCTTTGGGAGGCCAAGGTGGGTGGAACACGAGGTCAGGAGTTCGAGACAGCCTGACCAACCTGGTGAAACCCTGTGTCCACTAAAAATACAGAAATTAGCCAGGCATGGTGGTATGTGCCTGTAATCCCAGCTACTCGGGAGGCTGAGGCAGGAGAATTGCTTGAACCTGGGAAGCAGAGGTTGCGGTGAGCCAGGATTGCGACACTGCACTACAGCCTGGGTGACACTTCATCTCACAAAATAAAGCTACTTAGGCAGGCAGAGCACCTGAGGTCAGAAGTTTGAGACTAGCCTGGCCAACATGGCGAAACCCCGTCTCTACCAAAAATACAAAAATGAGCCGGGCATGGTTGTGAGTGCCTGTAATCCCAGCTACTCAGGAGGCTGAGCCAGGGAATCACTTGAACCTGGGAGGTGGAGTTTGCAGTGAGCTGAGATCATGCCACTGCACTCCAGCCTGGGCGACAGGGCAAGACCCTGTCTCCTGTTTAAAAAATAAATAAATAAAATTTAAAACTCAGCTACGGGTTTTTTAAAAGAGAAAAACTAGGGGAAAAATGACATACTTCAATCACCCCGAATTAGAGGAAGAGTTTAGTGAACCATCATGACGGCACACTGTGAAATATCATGAAACCATTGAAAGCAGTGGCATGAAAGATATTTAACCACGTGAGAGAGAGCCTGCTTTGTGTGAGGGTTCCTGGGGACAATCAGTAGATGACACAATCGTATATTTTCCTTCAGTGAGTCCAGGTTGGATTCCTCCCTCTGCTTTCCAAATCTTGGTTTATGATAAGATGGAGTCAAATTCCCACTGCCTGTCTTCCACTCTGGGTTGGGTGGCTGGTGGGTGCTTGATTCTGTGACTTAATATTTGGCTTGAGAAAAGAGAATACCTTTGCACAGACGGATACCCTTCTTGGAGCAGTTTTCAACAAAGGGGCACTGCCTTCCACACTCCTAATTTTCATGTTGTTGTGAAGACTTGGTGACAGCGCCCCCATGTGTCTGTGTGCTGTAGCATTTTGGCCCTTTCCATCTTTACTGTTTTTCCCCATCTTTAAAATCAAGGTGTCATTTACATGGAGTCAGTATCCCCCTTTCAGCATAGGGTCCTGCCTGTTTTAACAGATGTAGACGGTCATGGAACAGCCTCTACAATCAAGCTACAGAATGGGTCATCCCTAAATCCCGCTTTCCTCTGATAGGACAAGTCCCTCTCCCACCCCCAGGCAACCACAGATCGGCTTTCTGAATCTGCAGTTTTGCCTTTTCTAGAAGGTTGTATCTCTGGCGTCACAGTTTGTAGCCCTTGTCTATGGCTCCTAACACTTAGCAGAGTGTCTTTCAAGGTAATCTGTAAGTGGTTCCTTCCTTCTTTTTTGAGATGGAGTCTTTCGTTCTGTCACCCAGGCTGGAGTGCAGTGGTGTGATCTTGGCTCGCTGCAACCTCCGCCTCTGGTTCAAGCGATTCTCCTGCCTCAGCCTCCCAAGTAGCTGGGACTACAGGTGCCTGCCACCACACCTGGCTGATTTTTGTATTTATTTATTTTTATTTTATTTATTTTTTGAGACGGAGTCTTGCTCTGTTGCCCAGGCTAGAGTGTAGTGGTACAATCTCGGCTCACTGAAACCTCTGCCTCCTGGGTTCAAGCGATTCTCCTGCCTCAGCCTCCCTAGTAGCTAGGACCACAGGCACCCGCCACCATACCCGGCTAATTTTTGTATTTTTAGTAGAGATGGGGTTTCACTGTATTGGCTAGGCTGGTCTTGAACTCCTGACCTCAAGTGATCCGCCCGCCTCAGCCTCCCAAAGTGCTAGGATTACAGGCATGAGCCACTGTGCCTGGTCTAATTTTTGTGTTTTTAGTAGAGATGAGGGTTTCACCATGTTGGCCAGGCTGATCTCAAACTCATGGCATCAAGTGATCCACCTGCCTTGGCCTCCCAAAATGCTAGGATTACAGGCAGGAACTGCTGTGCCCAGCCTGGTTCCTTATGGCTGAATAATATTCCATCAAGTGGCTGGACTGCAGTGTGTTCATCTGTTCAATGATTGACAGGCAGTCAGTTGGTTTCCTGTCTTGGTGATCACAAATAAAGCCTCCCTAACATTCTTGTGTGTCTTTCTGTGTAGACTTGTTTTTGTATCTCCCAAGAGGAGGATTGCCGGCTCGTAGAAAAACTCAAACTGTGTTTCCTGATCTCCCACTCAACCACAATCAGCGTAGGACTTCTGTGACCGTTATGAGGGAGGGTTTCCCCACCAGCAAGCAGCAGACACCAGCTGGGTGTCTTCCAATTCAATTCTGACACACTCTACTTGGGAATAGCATCAGATACCATAGGGTGAGGGCTCAGTCCTCAAGACTGCCCCTTCTGCCTCTGGAACTTCTGACCAACCAAGTTCAGTTCAAGTGGGGGTTCCCATAACTCCCTCTTTGGGTTCATTTAATTTGCAGAAGTGACTCGCAGAACTTGAGGAAACACTTAGGTTTACCAGTTTATTATAAAGGATATTACAAAGGCTACAGATGGAGCAGAGTGTGGCTCAGCTGGGATTCATGCCTGAAATCCCAGCAGTTTGGGAGGTTGAGATGGGAGGACTTCGTGAGGCCAGGAGTTCCAGACTAGCATGGGCAACCCAATGAGACCCTGTCTCTAAAAAAAATCTTTTTTTCACTGGTCCAGTGGCTGGGCATGGTGGCTCAGGCCCGTAATCCCAGCACTTTTGGAAGGTCAAGGTGGGAGGTTTGCTTGAGCCTAAGAGTTTGAGACCAGTCTGGGCAACATAGCAAGACTCTATCTCTATAAAATAAAAATAAAAATAGCTGGGTATAGTGGCGGGTGCTTATAATCCCAGCTACTCGGGAGGCCGAGGCAGGAAGATCAATTGAGCCCAGGAGGTTGAGTCTTCAGTGAGCTGTGATGACACCACTGCACTCCATCCTGAGTAACAGCAAGATCCTGTCTCTTCAAAACAAAACAGGCTGGGTGTGGTGGCTCATGCCTGTAATCCCAGCACTTTGGGAGGCTGAAGCAGGCAGATTACCTGAGATCGGGAGTTCAAGACTAGCCTGACCAACATGGAGAAACCCTGTCTCTACTAAAAGTACAAAATTAGGTGGGTATGGTGGTGCATACCTATAATCCCAGCTACTTGGGAGGCTGAGGCAGGAGAATCATTTGAACCTGGGAGGCGGAGGTTGTGGTGAGCCGAGACTGTGCCATTGCACTCCAGCCTGAGCGACAGAGGGAGACTCCATCTCAAAAACAGAACAAAGGATAAGAGATGTGTAGGGTGAGATATGGGGGAAGGGGCATAGAGCTTCCATGGCCTGTTCAGGCATACTACCCTCCAGGAATCTCCATGTGTTCAGCTGTCCGGCATCTCTCCAAGCTTTCTCCTTTTGGGTTTTCATGGAGTCTTCATGACTTAGGTGCGATTGAAGCATGGACAATCGTGTGGAAATGTGATTGGTCAAAAAGGGTATGCCCCAAACCCAGCAAGACCTGTCTGTTCAGGTTCTTCTTGGCCTCTGTAGCATTTTTTCCTCTGGGGTGTGAGGCAGGAACCCTCTCTGACAGGTAAAAGGAGCGTGGGAGGAGGTCAGAGAGATCCTGCTTACTATAACAAGAGCTTATAGGAGTTCCAAGCCATGAGTTGTAGCTGAAAACGTATCTATATATGTATAATGGTAACAAGAAACTACCTGTTTTCCACAGTAGCTGCACCATTTTTATGTTCCCACTAGGTGCATAGATGACAGTGCAAGTTGTTACTTTCACATTCTAGCCAGTCTTGTGGGTGTGAAATGGTATCGCATTGTGGTTTTCATTTGCATTTTCTTAACAGCTGATGATATCAGACATCTTTTCAGTTGCTAATTTGCCATTCCTGTATCTTTGCTGATGTGTCTGTTAAGATCACTTGCCCAGTTTTAAATTGGGTTATTTGTTTTCTTATTACTGAGTTTTGAGGGTGCTTTCTATATTCTGGATACCAGCTCTTTGTGGTTCTTTGCAAATGTTTTCTTCCAGTGTGACTAGTCTTTTCATGCCGTTAAGTGTTTTAATTTAAGAGGCAGAAGTTGTTGGTTTTGATGAAGCCCAGTTGATCACTTTCTGCATTTGTGGATTGTGTTTTTGGAGTCTTATCCAAGATACCTCCACCTTATCCAAGATCACAGATATTTTCCTGTTTTCCCTGTAGGAGTTTTGTAGTGTAGGTTTTAGTTTTAAGTCTGTGAGTTAGGTTTTGTGTATGATGTGATGTTTAAATCAAAGTTCATTTTTTCATGCAGGGTGTTCAGTTGTTGGAATCCCATTTACTGAAATGATTTTCCTTTCTCCCATTGTATTGTTTCATCACCTCTGTCAAATACCGGTTGACCATATATGCGTCCGTTGTGTCTGGGTTCTGTTCTTTTCCATTGTTCTATGTGTGCATTCTTATGCCACTTCCACACTGCTGAGGTTACTGTAGCTTGTACAAAGTCTTCAAATCGGGTACTGTGAGGCCTCCTGCTATGCTTTTCCAAAACTGTTTAGTCTCTTCTAGTTCCTTTGGTTTTCCATAGAGATTTTAGAATTGTCATTTTTCTAGCAAAATACCTGCTTGATCTTGATTACATTGAATTCATAAATGGGGAGAATGCCTTCTTAATAACATCGAGTCTTTCAATCCATGAACATGGTATACTTCTCCATTTATTTAGATCTTGCTGGATTTTTTTCAGCATTTTTTTGTAGCTTCCAGAGTATAGATCTTACCTAAGCATTTGGTGTTTAGTGCTGTTGTACATGGTACTCTCTTTTAATTTCAATCTTCAAACTTGTTCGTTGCTACTTCATTGCTAGAAATGTGAATTTTTAAATATTGACCCTGTGTCCTGTACCTTTGCTGTGTTAGAGTTCTCCAGAGTAACAGAACCAATAAGAGGATCTTATAAAAGGATATAAATATGTAAAATGGGGTTTATTTATGAGGAATTGGCTCATGTGATTATGGAGGATAAGAAATCCCAGGATCTACTGTCTGCAAGCCAGAGAGAAAGGAAGGTTGGTGGTTTAGTTCAGCGTTTGTCTGGAGGCTTGAGCCTAGGGGAGTCAAAGGTGTAAATCCCAGTTTGAGGGCAGGAGGAGATGGGGTAAGACATCTCAGCTCAGCCAGGCAAGCAGGAAAGGGGTGAGTTTCTCCTCCTTCCACCATTTTGTTGTATTCAGGCCTTCAAGGGATTGCATGGTGCCCATACACATCCACCCATTCAAATGCTGATCTCATTAGTAAACACCCTCGGCTGGGCGCAGTGGCTCAGTGGCTCACGCCTGTAATCCAAGCACTTTGGGAGGCCAAGACAGGTTGATCATGAGGTTGAGAAATCGAGACCATCCTGGCCAATATAGTGAAACCCCGTCTCGACTAAAAATACAAAAATTAGCTGGGCATGGTGGCATGCACCTGTAGTCCCATTTACTCAGGAGGCTGAGGCAAGAGAACCGCTTGAACCTAGGAGGTGGAGGTTGCAGTGAGCCGAGATCTTGCTACTACACTCCAGCCTGGAGACAGAGCAAGACTCCATCTCAAAATAAATATGAAACACCCTCACAGACACACCCAAAAAATGTTTGTTCTGGGACACCCGATATCCAGTCAAGTTCACACACAAAATTGAAAGAAAACTTCTGTTAACTTATTTTTTAATTTTAATAGCAGTATTGAAGATGTTCAGGGATTTTCTACATGAAAAATTAATGTCTACAGGAACGGAGTTTTCCTTTCCAACTTGTTTGCCTTCGATTTCTTATCCAAGGCCCTCCACTGCCGTATTGAATGGGAGTGGTGTCTGTGCACCGTATAGCCTTGCTCTGGCCTTGCTCCATCTCCCAGGCTGTGGTGCAGTGGTGCGATCATGGCTTACTGCAGCCTCGAACCCCTGGGCTCAAGCAGTCCTCCCAACTCAGCCTCCCAAGTAGCTGGGGTCACAGGGAGGAACCACTGCACCTGGCCCTTGCTCTTTATAAGGTTTTCATTTTGCTTTTATGTATCATAAGGACAGTGTTCCATGTGTTTCCTTAAAAAAATTGTTTAACAATATATGTGTAAAACCTTTGTTTTTCCTGGTGACCAAAGTTATATATTTCTCTCTAGAAAACTAGTAAATACTGAAATGTGTCTAGAAAAAAATCAGTCACCTTTAATCTACCATGTCAGATAGTCACCGCAAACATTTTGGTAGAATCCTATGTTCTGTGCAAGTGAGCGTCTACACTTTGACAAAATGTGTTATTCCTGTATCTATGAGATGAAATTTCAAACCTCTTTAAATCTCTCCCCTGCCTCTAAGGAAGAGCAGTTAGAAAACACGGTGCAGACCGCGTCAGGGCCCCTTCTTGTGAAGGGCACATATCTTGTCCTCTGAGTGTCCTGTGTTCCCATAACAGGCTCCTGCAGGAGATGGGTCACAGACCCGAGGGAAGACGTCTGAAGGTGGAAGGAAACCCAGCCTGCTCCAGAAAAGCAAAGGTGCGAAACAGCCCTGAGCCTCAGGCAGTGTTGAGCGTGGCAGTAAATTTTGTCTCTGTGGGTGCTAAGTTCAATTTCCCTCTTTCTATTCTGGGGAAGATCGGAAGCAGCGAGCAAAGAGTTGGAGCTTATGAATAGATTGGGGGGATGTGGGGAGGTGAGCGGAGACGGCAAGAAAAGGGGAGGTCATTTCTTCCCTATGTAGCCCCAGAGAAAAGTCACATTGCCATCATGGTACTCCTTGGTGACATCAGTTTCTTGTCTACATGACTTTTTTCCCACTGGTGCTCTGAGAGCAGGACTCTTAGAGAGGCTGTGAGGGCTTTATCCTGAGGTTGGTAGTTCAACACCAACCTGGCCAACATGGCAAAACCCCATCTCTACTAAGAAAACATAAATCAGCTGGGCATGGTGGCGCATGCCTGTAATCCCTGCTACTTAGGGTTGAGGGTCTGAGGCAGATGAATCGCTTGAACCTGGGAGGCGGAGGTTGCAGTGAGCCGAGATCAAGCCACTGCATTCCAGCCTCAGCAACAGAGCGAGACTCCGTCTAACAAATAAAGACTCAACTGTGCTGTTTGTAATATAAAAACAACCCCAGACCAGACATAGAGGAACGGTTATAGCTGTGTGCCAATAAAACTATTTACAAGCAGAGGAGGCGGGCTGGATTTGGCCTGTGAGCTACCGTTTGCCACTCCTGGTGTAGATGTTAGAGTTCTTGCTACGCCTTCCCCAGGCGTGGTTGAGAAACAGGCACAGTAGAGCCAGCCTGCTAGTCTTCCCCATCTAATTGGGTCGAAGGCCATGGATAAACCTGGGAATGCTGGTGTGACCAGGGGACCAGAGACCGGGCCTGCCACACCTTCAAACCGGTTCTCACTCAAGGGTGATCCCGACCCCCAAGGGACACTGGCAGTGTTTGGAGATGTGTTTGGTTGTCCTGTCTGGGGGAAGGGGTTCTACTGGCATCTGGTGGGTGGAGGCCAGGGAGGCCCCTCAGCATCCTGCAATGCACAGGACGCCGCCACCACAGCAAGGAAGGATTCAGCCCCACATACCCACATTCTCGCAATGCCATGGCTAAGAAACCTTAATTTTTTTTTTTAAGAGTCTCACTCTATCGCTCAGGCTGGAGTGCAATGGCGCGATCTTGACTCACTGCAATCTCTGCCTCCCAGGTTCAAGTGATTCTCCTGCCTCAGTCTCCCAAGTAACTGGGACTACAGGTGCCCGCCACCATGCCCGGATAATTTTTAGTAGAGACGGGGTTTCACCATATTGGCCAGGCTGGTCTTGAACTCCTGACCTTGTGATCCACACACCTTGGTCTCCTAAAGTGCTGGGATTACAGATGTGAGCCACTGTGCCTGGGTTTAATTAAGTTAAACCTTAATTTAAACCACACCCTAATGATTTCAAAGGACTGCTTGTTTGAGTTCCATTGTATGGTTTTGTAGAAAATTAATTTTCTTACTGATACTCAGGGACCAAAGATTAAAAAAAAAAAAGAAAATTAATTTTCTTAGTGCAAATGCTATACATGCTGATGATAAAATATTCCAGGGCAAAGTAATTAATAGCAGGCTGGGCACGTTGGTTCATGCCTGTAATCCCAGCACATTGGGAGGCTGAGGCGGGCAGATCACAAGGTTAAGAGATCGAGACCATCCTGGCCAAAATGGTGAAACGCCATCTCTACTAAAAATGTAAAAATTAGCCAGGTATGGTGGCATGCGCCTGTAGTTCCAGCTACTCAGGAGGCTGAGGTGGGAGAATCTCTTGAACCTGGAAGGCGGAGGATGCAGTGAGCCGAGATCATGCCACAGCTTGGCAACAGAGTGAGACTCTGTCACACACACAAAAAAAGCAATAGCAATTAGAAGTTACCACCTCTAGCTGGGTATGGTGGCTTACGCCCGTAATCCCAACACTTTGGGAGGCCGAGGCAGGTGGATCACATGAGGTCAGGGGTTTGAGAAGAGCCTGGCCAACATTTTGAAACCCAGTCTCTACTAAAAATACAAAAATTGGCCAGGTGCAGCAGCTCATGCCTTTAATTTCAGCACTTTGAGAGGCTGAGGATGGTGGATCACCTGAGGTCAGGAGTTCGAGACCAGCCTGACCAAAATGGCAGAACTCCCTCTCTATTAAAAATACTAAAATTAGCTGGGTGTGGTGGTGCGCACCTGTAATCCCAGCTACTTGGGAGGCTGAAATAGGAGAATCGCTTGAACCTGGGAGGTGGAGGTTGCAGTGAGCTGAGATCACGCCACTGCCCTCCAGCCTGGCAACAGAGTGAGACTCTGTCTAAAATAGTAATAATAATAATAATAATAATACAAAAATTACCAGGTGTTGATGGCAGGCGCCTGTAATCCCAGTGACTTGGGAAGCTCAGGCAGGGGAACTGCTTGAACCTAGGAGGCAGAGGTTGAAGTGAGCTGATTGCACCATTGCGCTCCAGCCTGGGTGGCAAGAAGGAAACTTCAGCTCAAAAAACCAAAAAGAAGATGGGAAAAGAGCAGAGGGTAAAATAGGAGTATGGCATCATATCCCACTCTTAGCATCCTGTAAACTGCCAGAAGGGCCTGTTTGCACCTCTTGGGTTATACAGAATGTCTCTCTCTTCTAGTGGTACTTTAAAAATAGATTCAAATTGATGGCTGGGAATTTCCACAGGTTTTTTTTTTTTTTCTTTTAGCCTTTCCCCCTAGGACAAAATTGGGTTTTTAGAAGCAATTGTGTTGTTCAGAAACACGGCCTGTGTTTCCTGACTTAAATGGAGAATGTCTCTTGACTGTGCTGACTTTGGGGTATTCTTTTCTTAACAGCAGATAGCAGTGGGGTTGCAAAGGGGGACCTGCAGTCCACGTTGCTGGAAGGGCATGGTACAGCCCCACCTGACCTGGATCTCTCTGCCATTAATGGTAAATCACTGGTTTCACCCCTTCTGTCACTCACTGGGGGTTGCAGTAGGTTTCAGTGGGCTTCCAAAGTACAGTTACTCCTTGGCCTATGATGGGGCCACATCCAACAAACCCATCATAAGTTGAAAATATTGTACAGGCTGGGCATGGTGGCTCATGCCTGTAATCCCAGCACTTTGGGAGGCCAAGGCAGGTGGATCATGAGGTCAGGAATTCAAGACCATCCTGGCCAACATAGTGAAACCACATCTCTACTAAAAATACAAAAATTAGCTGTGTGTGGTGGCAAGCACCTTTAATCCCAGCTATTTGGGAGGCTGAGGCAGAGAATTACTTGAACCCGGGAGGCAGAGGTTGCAGTGAGCCGAAATCACACCGCTGCACTCCAGCCCGGACGATAGAGCAAAACTCTGTCTCAAAAAAAAAAAAATGTGTGTGTGTGTGTCATCAAAAATACACTGAATACCGTGGTAAACGAGATTAAACTTGCCTTTTGTCCCTTGCAAAGTGGAATAACTTTAAGCTGGACCATTATAATTCCATATAGTTCTCAATTATGATGGGGTTACATCCAAATAAACCTATTATTTTAAAAAATGGCAACCAGGGCCTATCTGTATGCGCTACTCACCATTAAAAATGCTGTGCTTTGTCTTAGACAAAAGTGTCATCAGAAAGACGCCACAGTTAGCAAAAACAATACCAAAGAAACCTGACTCAACATCGTTTTCTGCCCCTCGGAAAAAGAGCCCAGTAAGTGTCTGAAACAAAAGGGCAGCCACAGACGGGTTGTATAGATCTGATATAGATCCAACTCTGAACCAGGTGCCACCTGAGCGCCCAGGGCTGCAAGAACAGACAAGACACCCATCCCCTTTAGGACAAAAGTCAAGACCACAAGTGTTCTTAGATCGTTTGTAGAGTTTACATTTCCCCGAGTACATATTCAATAGTGGATACCAATATAGGATCATGTAAAAAATGAGACAGGGGACTTCTCTGTGCCTACTCTGGAAAGGAACAAGGCCAGGTCCTTTCCCTTGGCGGGAGGACAGCTAGGCTGTGGTCTTACTGGGGTGAGGACAAGATTGGTGGGTGGGGGACCAGCAAGTGGGGAGACTGCATTCTGGTCCTGGTGCGGCACCAAATTTGTGGGTATCCTCAGCTGACCCTTGACTGCCCAGCTGCCGCTGTCTCTCCACCTGCCAGGTGCTGGAGGAAGGAGGGTCATGGACCTCCGTCTTCCATCTCAGAGCACTGGAGAAAACCAAATAAAAGCAAATAGAAGCAGCAGGCCCACTACACTAGAGAACTACCAGATACCAAACAGAATACAGAAAATCCACACAAGCCAGAGTTCTGCCCCTGCTGAGGAAAGAGCTGGATTTATGCCACTTCATCAGTAATTGAGAGGATCTTTTTCTTTTCTTAAGGATTTATCTGAAGCAATGGAAATGATGGAGTCTCAGACACTGCTGCTGACACTACTGGCTGTAAAGGTGAAAACAGTTCTTCACGTTGCCATGGATGGAAGGGTGGGCTCCCTTCACCATGGGGACAGAGTCCCCACTTGCTTGAGCTTTTCTTTCACATTTAACAGATGGAGAACAATCTTGCTGAGTTTGAAAGAAGGGCAGAAAAGAATTTATTAATAATGTGTAAGGAGAAGGAGAAGCTACAGAAAACGGCCCATGAGCTGAAACGCAGGCTTCTCCTCTCTCAGAGGAAGCGGGAGCTGGCAGATGTCCTGGATGCCCAGGTCAGTTATAAGTGACACTGCGACCAGTTAGCATTCCCAGTGGATTCGTCCCATTTCCACTGTTTCAGGTAGCATTCGTGGTAGGGTATCATTGTGCACTGGCTTCTAACTCTGTGTTGGGCTTTTAATGCCACGCTTTCTCTGGTCCTGGTGTTGGGTCTATGACACCTTTAGAGGATGAGGTTACAAAGTAAAGCCTGAACCAATAAGGGAAGCATGCACCTTCTACACTCTTGTGCAGAGACTTCCTGACGGCCTGATGGTTATGAGCAGCGACAGGATGACATGCTCTGGGCCTGCCCTGGAGGGTCAGGGTGCTGGTGGGAAGCACTGGGACAGAGGTGTCCATGTAGGAGAAGGACAGGAGTGAAGCCCTGGAACCCAGAAAGGGCGCATCAGCAGGGGCGGGCCCCCTACCCAGTGGGTGAGTTTCCTGTGGTTGTTGGAACAGAGTCTCACAACCTGGGCGTGCAAAACAACTGGAATTCATTCTCGTGGTTCAGGAAGCTGAAAGTCTAAGATTGAGGTGTTGGTGGTTGGCTCTGTTTGAAGGCCGTGAGGGAGAATCTCTCCTGGCACAGTCTTTGGCCTGTGAGTGGTTGTCGCCTTTGTGTCTGTCCACACGTCCTTCCCCCGTGTGTGTCTGGGTCCCTGTTTCCCCCCAGGACACCAGTTGTGTTGGATTAACACCCCCCACACAACCCCCCATCACCTCGTGTTAACTTGATGACCCTGATAAAATCCATATTTTCAAGTAAGGGTGCATTACAAGTACTGGGAGTTGGAACGTCAGATATGAATTTGGGGGGATCCAGCTCAACCCCTAACATCCAAAATTTTCACATGAGCACCCCTGCAGCTAGGCTCTGGGCTGAGTACAAGGTCTCTGACCTTCAGGAGCTCAAAATGGAAGAAAAAGAGACAAACCCAGTTGATTCTTAAACATGAATTTGAACTGTGAGATTCCATTTAAATGTAGATTTTTTTCAGTAAATATTAGGAAAAAGTTTTGGAGATTTTTGACTCTTTGAAAAAACTCACAGATGAATCTCATAGCCTAGAAATACCGAAAAAATTGAGAAAAAGTTAGGCATGTCATGAATGCATACCTATTTGTCCCATGTGCAACAAGCAGAGTGACACTAGGTCTCTACAAAATTTTTTTTTTGGGGGTAGAGTCTTCCTCTGTCACACAAGCTGTAGTACAGTGGCACAATCTCAGCTCACTGCAACCTCCACCTCCCAAGTTCAAGCAGTCTCATACCTGAGTTTCCTGAGTAGCTGGGAGTACAGGCACACACCACTAAATTTTCTATTTTTAGTTCAGACAGGGTTTCACCATATTGGCCAGGCTGGTCTCCAACTCTTGACCTCAAGTGATCCACCTGCCTCAGCCTCCCAAAGTCTAGGATTATAGGCATGAGTCACCATGCCTGGCCAATCTCTATAAAAATTAAAAATTAGCCAAATGTGGTGGCACACGCCTATAGTCCCAGCTACGCGGGAAGCTGAGGCAGGAGGTTTGCTTGAGCCTGGGAGGTGTGGAAGCTATAGTGAGCTATGATCACTCCACAGCACTCCAGCCTGGGCAACACACTGAGACCCCGTCTACAAAATATATGTGCAGTGGCTCACGCCTATAATCCCAGCACTTTGGGAGACTGAGGCAGGTGGATCACTTCAGGTATAGGGTTCCCACCTAATCTCTAACTTGAAGACTTTGGCAAGAGTTTGAGACCAGCCTGGCCAACATGGTGAAACCCCGTCTCTACTAAAAATTTTTATTTAAAAATTAGCCGGGCATGGTGGTGTGGACCTGTAACCCCAGCTACTCAGGGAGACTGAGGTGTGAGAATTGCTGGAACCCGGGAGGCCGAGCTTGCGACACTGAACTCCAGCCTGGGAGACAGAGCAAAACTCTGTCTCAAAAAAGTGTGTGTGTGTGTGTGTGTGTGTGTGTGTGTGTGTGTGTGTGTAGCTGCTAGTCTATTACATGATTTGTTGAGTGTTATCAGTAAGGTTTCATTCAACAGTGGCTATCAGTAAATTTGGGGGGAGTCAAAAGTTATATACAGATTTTTGACTGAACAGAGTTTGGTACCCCAAACTCCCGTGTTGCCCGAGGGTCAACCCTATATCATTTTAAACCCCCATGAAGACCCAGACAGCGTGTTTGGGGTGGGGATGGCCTTGTGAAAGCAGGCATTTAGGTGCAGTGCTCTAAAGCAGGTGGGCCCAGACGAGGGCCCAAGCGTGGAACCACTGGAAGGCAGACACGCATTCCTATGTCTAGAATGCGTGTCTGCCTTCCTAGTGAGGGACCGGGGCTGCCTTCCCAGCCACTTGGCTCTCTTGGGGAGAGCTCACCTCACCCTAGGAAACTTCCTGAGCTCTGATCCCTGGCGGGTCGTGAAGAACAGTGCTGCTGTACCTTTTTGGTTTTTTTTTTTTTTTGAGACGTAGTTTTGCTCTTGTTGCCCACGCTGGAGTGCAATGGCATAATCTCAGCACACTGTAACCTCTGCCTCCTGGGTTCAAGCGATTCTTCTGCCTCAGCCTCCTGAGTACCTGGGATTACAGGTACCTGCCACCATGCCCAGCTAATTTTCTCTATTTTTAGTAGAGGCGGGGTTTCACTATGATGGCCAGGCAGGTCTTGAACTTCTGACCTCAGGTAATATGCCCACTTCAGCCTCCCAAAGTGCTGGGATTACAGGCATGAGCCACCGCGCCCATATCTTCACCTTGCACAAGCCATTACACTTCCAGGGATGAGACTCCAGGATCTCCCTCTACATCCCCCATCCCTTCTGCTTACAGGTCCAGATGCTCAGCCCCTTTGAGGCTGTGGCCAAACGCTTCAGGGAGCAATACAGGACGTTCGCCACAGCCCTGGACACCACCAGGCATGAGCTGCCTGTGAGGTCCATCCACCTGGAGGGAGACGGGCAGCAGCTCTTAGGTAGGAAGCGGGATGTTCCAGCTGTGTGTGCAGCAGGCGGGTGAGGAGCGGGTGTGGGTGCTCCCATGGGCCCAATGTCATTGCCACAAGTGCCCTCTTCCCCATCTAAGCAGAGGAAAGGGAGGGCTGGCCAGGCTGTGGTTCCTCCAGGGTCTCGCCCTGAGAAGGTAACCACGCTGGGATTTGAACCTTGGGCAGTGATCACGCAGTGATCTGCCGAAAGGCATTTTGCCAGGGTGGCCTATAGTCTTGAGTCCTGGGCCCAACAAATGTGCCTTAGTGGACCACCAGCCTCACCCCGGCTTTCCCCCTCAGCAGAGCAGTGAGGGCCCTTTTAGGCATAGGGTTCCCACCTCATCTCAAACTTGAAGACTTTAGCAGTTGAGAAGAAAGGTACTGTGCTGCATCTTAAAGATAGCTGTAAAGATACAGGTGTCTTCCCAAAGAGCAGGTTTTTGGCTGCCCTGGAGTTTGCTTCTTTTTGTTTCGTTTTTTGGAGACAGCATTTCACTCCTTTGCCCAGGCTGGAGTGCTGTGGTGCAGTCTCAGCTCACTGCAACCTCTGCCTCCCAGGCTTTAAGCGATCTTCCTACCTCAGCCTCTGGAGTAGCTAGGACTACAGGTATGCACCACCACACTTGGCTAATTTTTTTTTTTTAATAGACACGGTTTCACTATATTGCTAAGGCTGGACTTGAACTCCTGAGTTCAAGCAGTCCTCCCACCTTGGCCTCCCACAGGGCTAGAATTACAGGCATGAGCCACCACGCCTTGCCATTGCTCTTTTGTTGGTGGAATCTCTTGCACAGTCGCCCAGGCTGGAGTGCAGCAGTGCCATCATAGATCACTGCAGCCTTGAACTTCTCAGGATCTGCTCAGGTCCTCCCACCTCAGCTTCCTGGGTTGCGGCCTCCCCAGTGCTTCAGGCATGCACCATTGCACCTGGCTACATTTTTTTTTTTTTGAGACAGAAATTTGCTCTTATTGCCCAGGAGAGCAACAAGAGCAGTGGCGTGATCTCAGCTCCCTGCAGCCTCCGCCTCCCGGGTTCAAGCGATTCTCCTGCCTCAGCCTCCTGAGTAGCTGGGACTACAGGCATGCGCCACCACACCCAGCTAATTTTGTATTTTTGGTAGAGACAGGGTTTCTCCGTGTTGGTCAGGCCAGTCTCGAACTCCTGACCTCAGGTGATCTGCCCCCGGCGGCCTCCCAGAGTGCTGGGATTACAGGCCACAGTGCCTGGTGCACCTGGCTAATTTTTGTTTATTTTTTGTAGCGACAAGGTCTGGCTGTGTTGCCCAGACTGATCCAGAACTCCTGGGCTCAAGTGATCTCCCACCTTGGCCTCCCAAAGCACTGGGATTCTGAATAGGTGTGAGCCTCCTTCCTGGCTGGGTTTCTGGTTTGATCACTATGGTCACCTCCACATCTGCACTCTCAGGCTCTGTCTCTGCTCAGGTCCTTAGGTAGTTGCTAGGAACTAGCCTAGGGACTGTGAGTTTTCTGGTGCTGCTATACCAAGCGACCAGAGAATGGGTGGTTTGAAACCAGAGAAACATTCCCTCGAAGTTCAGGGGACCAGAAGTGTGAAATCAGGGTATCAGTGGGATTGGTTCCCTCCAGGGCAGGCCAGGTGAGCCCATCCTGTGTCTCCCCTCTGCTGCTGGTGGCTGCTGGTGGCCCTTGGAGTTCCTTGGCTTGTGGCTGCGTCCCTCCATTCTCTGCCCATGGCCTCCTCCCTGGCTGTCTTGTTATTGAAAATTCCCACATCAGGCCAGGCAGGTGGATCACGAGGTCAGGAGTTCAAGACCAGCCTGGCCAAGATGGTGAAATCCCGTCTCTTACTAAAAATACAAAAAAATTAGCCAGCATAGCGGCGTGCACCTGTAATCCCAGCCACTTGGGAAGCTGAGGCAGGAGAATTGCATGAACTGAGATTGTACCACGGCACTCCAGTCTGGATGACAGAACAAGACTCTATCTCAAAAAAAAAGAAAGAAAAATTCCCCGCAGGGCTGGGCATGGTGGCTCACACCTGTAATCCATGCACTTTGGAGGCCAAGGCGGGCAGATCACCTAAGATTGGGAGTTCAAGACCAGCCTGACCAACATGGTGAAACCCCGTCTTAAAACAAAACAAAAAATTCCCTGCATCTGATGAGGACATCATTCACTGGATTGGGGCCCACACTAATGACCTCATTTTAATGCCACCCTGTCCACAAAGACCCTGTTTCCGGTTAAGCTCACAGTCACTGGGAGTGAAGGGTAGGAGTGGAACATACGTGTTGCAGAGGGCATAATTCAGTCCACTGCTGGAAGGAGAAGAGGCTGGCTGATAAGGCGCCTAAAAAGCTTTCAAAATGTGACTCTCAGGTACAGTTGGCCTCAACGTGATACGTAATGGGGAGAGAGGTGTGTTGCCCCAGTGCAGGTGACAAAGGTCCCACAGTTGCAGGCCTCCCTCTGCTCAGGGGCGCAGGGAACAAGGACCGGTGTTTTTAAGTTGCTCATGGTCTGGCTGGGAGGCCTCAGCCATTCTCCCTGGCACAGCACAGTCTTTTTCGCATTGGCATTGGTTTCTGTTGAGGACACCACAGTGACATTTCAGTTCTGTTCCAATGCCCTCCTAGATGGTGGACATGCCTGTCCTACAATTGCAGACCGTGGGACAGAGAAGGCACTGGCCTGAATGTCTCCTTGGCTTCAGCTTCTTCCCGTGCGCTCTCCACGGTTCTAGCACGATAACCGAGCCCCCACGGGAGCAGCCTGTTGGCCTCTCCATCTGAGCATGCCTTGCTTGGGGCACCTTGCAATCCAACCCTCACCATCCTTTGTCCCCTCCAGACGCTCTGGAGCGTGAACTGAGGACCACTCAGCGTCTCCTGGGAGAACTTGACGTTGGCAATTCGGAAGAAAATGTGCAGGTGCTAGACTTACTGAGCGAACTCAAGGACGTGACAGTGAAAAGGGACCTCGAGCTCCGAAGGTATCTCAGAAAATGCTTTAAGAAAAAGGTGGCACCCTGTTTACTCAGGACTGTTGGAGTGGTGCCGAGTTCCTTTTGGGGTTCAGAGGAAGTTCAGTCCCCTGGGCGAGCTGCTCTCTTCCTAGCCGTTGCACAATACAAGAATGGCCAGCAGGTGTCATTGTCATCCATATTGTGGATGACACAATCATCCAGCAGCACCCGCTTTGCCTTTCCTTCCTTTTTCTTTCTTCTTTTTTTTTGGAGACAGGGTCTCACTCTGTTACCCAAGCTGGAACGCAGTGGCAGATCTCAGCTCACTGCAGCCTCAAACTCCTGGGCTCAAGTGATCCTCCCCCCTCAGCCTCTTCAGTAGCTGGGCCTGCAGGAGTGCACCACCATGCCAAGCTGATTTCCCTTTTCTAGCTCACTGAGTCATTTTAGAGCTAATGGGGATTCTAGGTGAAATGAGGATCAAATATGCCACAAGTCGGGTCCTGGATTCACAGAGTGCAAGACTCAAGCAGAGCAGGGCAGCGAGAAGAGCAAAAGAGCTCACAGCCCACCCAGAAAAAATCCACGGAAGGGCTGGCCGAGGTGGCTCATGGCTGTCATCCCAGCACTTTGAGAGGCTGAGGCGGGAGGATCACTTGAGGCCAGGAGTTCAAGACCAGCTTGGGCAACATAGTAAGACCTTGTCTCTATTATTTATTTATTTATTTTGAGACAGAGTTGCCCAGGCTGGGGTGCAATGTCACGATCTCGGCTCACTGCAACTTCCACCTCCCAGGTTCAAGCGATTCTCCTGCCTCAGCCTCCCAAGTAGCTGGGATTATAGGTGCCCACCACCATGCCCAGCAAATTTTGTATTTTTAGTAGAGATGGGGTTTCATCATACTGGTCAGGCTCGTCCCGAACTCCTGACCTCAGGTGATCTGCCTGCCTCAGCCCTCTCAAGTGCTGGGATTACAGGCAGGAACCACTGTGCCTGGCCTCTTTATTTAAAAAGTACAAAATTTAGCCAGGCTTGGTAGTGCACATCTGTGGTCCCAGCTACTCAGGAGGCAGAGGTGGGAGAATCATCTGAGCCCGGAGAGGTTGAGGTAGCAATGAGCTGTGGTCGTGCCACTGCACTGCAGCCTGGGCGATAGAGTGAGACCCTGTCTCAAGAAAGAAAAATTCCATGGAAGTTTTCAAGCAGCTGGAAGAGAAAGGGTGTCATGTCTCATTCACATCCTCAAAGTAACCCAGCAGCACAGGCGCCCTCAGAACAGCCCTGTTCATGTTTTCAGTGTTTGCATTTTCAGTGCCTTCCAGGGTGAGGTTCCAGGAGAATGGTTCTTGACCTTCTGATTGGTAGAAATAACCCAGATCTTAGAGGCCTGTGCTGTGGCTTACACAGAGTGCATATCCTTATGGGTCCAGCCCCACAAACCCATCAGGACCCCCGTTTTTTTTCTATCTCCCCCCAGGAGATTTCTGGCCATGTGCTTTTCTCCACCTCTTCAGAAAAGAATCTTGTCTCTTCCTTACAGTGCTAAATCTTTTTCCTGAGTTGCCTAAAACATTGGACAAGGACTCATGCAAAACAGCTGCCACCCACTGTGGGATTTCTTCCTCCTGTGGGTGGCCGTGGATCCGTTCAGGACACCTAAGGGTCATAAAGCCACAGTGTCACTCCCGGGATGACTTACTGAGCCATGAACAGCGGAGCCCTCATGACCCAGTCACCTCTTTCAGGCCCCACCTCTCGCTGCTGCCACAGTTGGGGATGATGATGATGATTATTATTATTATTGAGACAGGGCTTCATTTTCATTGCTTAGGCTGGAGTGCAGTGGTGCAATCTTGGCTCACTGCAACCTCTGCCTGCTGGGCTCAAGCAGTCATCCCACCCCAGCCACCCAAGTAGCCAGGACTATAGGTGTGTGCCACTGCACCTAGCTAATTTTTTTTTTTTAATTTTTTATAGAAATGGGTTTTGCCATGTTGCCCAGGCTGGTCCTGAACTCCTGGCCTCAAGCCATCTGCCTGCCTTAGCCTCCCAAAGTGCTGGGATTACAGCACTTAAATCCTACCTCGACCTGCCAGGGGATTAGTTTTTTTGTTTTTTTTTTAATTTGGAGATGGAGTTTCACTCTTGTTTCCCAGGCTGGAGTGCAATAGCATGATCTCAGCTCACCTCAACCTGAGCCTCCCAGATTCAAGTGATTCTCCTGCCTCAGCCTCCCAAGTAGCTGGGATTACAGGCATGTGCCGCCATGCCCGGTTAATATTTTGTATTTTTAGTAGAGACGGGGTTTCTCCATGTTGGTCAGGCTGGTCTCGAACTCCCAACCTCAGGTGATCCACCTGCCTCAGCTTCCCAAAGTGCTGGGATTACCGGTGTGAGCCACTGCTCCCGGCCGGGGCTCATTTTTAATGGGAGTTTGGGAGGGGACGGATATTCCAGCTACAGCAGCAGTGCAGCACTAAGCTCCCTGAACACCCTGAACATTTCTTGGTTGAATGAGTCTTTTCCTTTCTTGTCTGGTGCTGTTCTTGGGGGGTTTCCCTGATGGAGTCTCTTCAGACAGGTCTTGTGTGCTGGCCCACTGAGCACGTGGGGCATATGAAAACCCACATGTGGCAGCCCCTCGTTCACCACATGTGCGCTTCACCTTGGAGGGCAGAAGCCATTATTGGTTCTCTGATCCTTGACAGGAGTTTCGCCCAGGTGCTGGAACTCTCCGCAGAGGCGAGCAAAGAGGCGGCCTTGGCAAACCAGGAAGTCTGGGAAGAGACTCAGGGCCTGGCGCCTCCTAGCCAGTGGTATTTCAATCAAGATACCACCTGCGGAGAATCTCAGGGAGCACCCAAGAACACGCCCCGGTTTGAGGACGATACCCCTGGTGCCTCGTCAGCCCCTACTCAGGCCATGTTCATCAGCCCAAGGGAAGACGTTTCTTCAAGCAGCCAAGGAGCAGCCACGTCCTCTGCCACTCACTCAGGGAGGGACTTGGGGTGACTCGTGACATTCAGGACACTTGAGCACTTTATACACTACCCTAGCACTGGAGCTGTTTTTTTAATGTGATAATCTTGTTTAATCCTTAAAAAATAAACCCGTTTTGCAGTTGAAGCCCTCGTTTTCTATGAGGGGGCCAGTTGGAGGACCTGTGTTGTCTCGAGTTCTTCCGAATGACTGGTCCTGAAATTCAGGACCCGCACGACATGCTGAGTATCCCGCTGTCACGATGATTTCATGTCCTTCAGTCACAAGGGTGGTTTTGGGACAGGAAGTTAGGAATTGGCCCTTGAGTGGGCATGTTTCATTTTATTTGTTAATTCTTTGGAAATGTGATTCTTTGTTGTCGTTGCTGTTCATGTTTATTGTCTTTAGCTGAAAAATCCTTATCGAAAGTTGTTTGGTTTAGCGCTCAGCAGCCCGCTCCTGAGCTCTGAGGAAGCTTGCCTTCTTTTGAGCTACCTGATGTTTCTTCTGAGCAAGGGACATTTTGGGGCGGTTCCACGTCTTCCTCTCAACTTCTTTCTTGGGCTTCTTTTCATAGCTGGATTCTCTCGTATAGGAGCATGAACTTTTTATACGTCTCCTCCATTGTATCTGGAGTTACACTCTTTACGTATTGAGATAACTGTTTCTTGTAAGCATCTTCATCTTCTGCCATTAAGTAGTGCGTGTAATCTGCAACGTTCTGGTCCATGGTGTGCTTCTGCATTAAATTCCTTGCTTTCAGAATCCTAACCAGGGACTTGTTTGGTACTGTGAGGGATAACAAGCCTCCATCCACAGCTCCCTTCAGGGTACCAAAAACTTTATTGCCAGTGGTAGTTCTGGCAAGGCCTGCATCCAGATACAGGTAAAGGCACCTGGCTGACCGTCAGTGCCTTCCGCGCTGTGTTCATCACCAGTCACCTCCACTTGGCCCTCATAGATCTTGTCGGTGCCAAACCTATTGAGAAGCCTGCGGGCCAGCAGCAGGCCAGTACCGTGTGCAGCAGCATCACCTGTGAGGCCAGCCTTCATGCTGTGTTTTGACAGTTTGTGTGCATGTGTTGCGCAGACTATCATTTCCCCCCCATACGGGCAGAAGCATCTGACAAATGCTATCTCTGTTACACGAACTGTCGTCCTGTATTTGGGTGTGTTGTCTTTATTTTTATCCTGTATCACCAAGCGTTTCCAGGCATAGTAATGTTTTACCCTCTTGTCTTCTAAATTTCACTTGGTATCTCTTAAAGTAGGCCTTATTCTTTTTTTTTTTACATTTTTTTTTTAAGATTAGGTTTTACCATGTTGGTCAGGCTGGTCTTGAACTCCCGACCTCAGGTGATCTGCCCGCCTTGGCCTCCAAAGTGCTTGGGTTACAGGCATGAGCCACTATACCCGGCCAAGTAGGCCTTATTCCTAATGACTTTAACAAACCCCATCCTGTGGAACAGAGACCCACAGGCCCAGCAGTGCTAGGGGTGCAAAAAGGCTAGAAATGCAATTCTTTATTAAAACTCAAGTTTGTTTGCAAACATTCAACAGAAGGGGTAAAACCAAAACGATCCACATCATCCTCCCCGCCACCCCAGTTTCTGGGGCAAAGTAGGGGGCTTTAACCCCTGACTGGCTCTGGGTCTAGGGCCTGAGATGCTTTTGTAAGCTGGTAACTGGGTCCCGGGCAGCCTTGCAAAACTGCTAGGTCCCTGCCTTGCAGCTTTGGGAGATTGCTGGGTCCCCGACTCGCTGGCAGCCTGGAGAGACTGCTGGGTTCTAGCGTCCTAGACCTTCACCAAATGCTGGGTCCCGGCCTTTGTTTGCTTTTTAGACAGGGTCTTGCTCTGTCTTCTGGGCTGGAGCGATCCTCCTACCTCAGCTTCCTGAGTAGCTGGGACCACAGGCATGCACCACCATATGTGGCTAAAAATAGTTTTGGTGTGGCAGGGGTGTCTTGCTCTTGCTGTGTTGCCCAGGGTGGTCTTGAATTCCTGGGCTCCAGTGATCCTCCAACCTCAGGCCCCCAAAGTGCTGGGATTACGGGCATGAGCCATTGGGCCTGGCTCCAGTTTTCATCCATACCCCAATCCCATTGTCTCAGTCCATCCAGGCTGCTATAAGAAAATACTATAGACCACATGGCTTAGAAAGAGAAGTTGATTTCTCGCTTCCGGAGGCTGGAAGTTCCAAGTTCAAGGTGCTGGTAGAACTGGGTTTTGGTGAGACGCTGATTCCTAATTGGCTGACTCTCACTGTGTCCTCCTCACATGGTGGGAAGGTCAGAGTGAGAGGGGAGACCCTCTCCCCGTCTCTCTCCTCACAGGCCTCCACCTCCTCCCTCCGGATGAGAAGGAGGGTAAAAATAAAGGAATCCATGGTCAAGTGGCTTGCTGACGCCACTGACCAGGCCATAATGAGGCCCAAGGACTGGGAAGATAACGCCCTTTTCGGTTCCCAGCTATCTACAAGCCTTGAGACAGTTGCAAAGAATGTTATCACTACCAGCCAGAGCCCGGAACTAGGCCATGTCCTCCATGTTTGCACAGTCCAAAGCCCCCCTTAAAGTGGCATCTGCCACCAAGTAATTTACTGCCTTCGTTCAGCTCCGGTAACCCTTCCCCTTCTTTCCTTTCCGCCTTTGCTAAATATAAATTAGCAAATCAATGAAAGCCAGAGACTGAGGTAAGCTCTGTGGGTAATACACAGTTTCACCTCTGCTCCCCCTTTAGAGTCGTAAGCCCCTAAAAAGGGAAGGAAGCTGCTTCTCAGGGAGCTCGAGATTCACCTGTGTTGCCCAGGCTGGTCTTGAATTCCTTGTCTGGGCAATACAGGTGAATGAGACTTTAGCTCCCTGCAGCTCCCGGGAGAATAAAAAGCCACTTCCTTCCTCAGTTCAGTGTTTGAGAGGTTTGTTTTCTGCCGCTCCTGCTACAAATGGAGCTCCCATGGGCTTTTTTTTTTTGAGATGACGGAGTTTTGTTCTGTTGCCTAGGCTGGAGTGCCAGTGGTGTGATCTTGGCTTACTGCAACCTTCATCTCCCAGATTCAAGCAATTCTCCTGCCTCAGGCTCCTGAGTACTTGGGATTACAAGTACGCACCATCACACCCGGCTAATTTTTGTATTTTTAGTAGAGATGGGGTTTCACCATGTTGGCCAGGCTGGTCTCGAACTCCTGACCTCAAGCAATCTGCCTGCCTCAGCCTCCCCAAGTGCTGGGATTACAGGTGTGAGCCACCACATCCGGCCCCTTGTGTCATTCTTTGTCTTGACAAATCTGCCTGATTGTCCCTAGTGAGTCCAGATTGGGTTTCATGTTGTAGTGTCTGCCTTCCAGTTTTTAAAATTTCTACAAACTGGGGCAAATGCAGCAGATTTGTTTGGGGCTGTTTAATATTGAGGGACCTCAGGCAGTCTCTTCGGTTCAGCCAGCCTTCCAGAGTGCTTTTTTTTTTTTTTTTTCCATTTTTGAGACAGAATCTCACTCTGTAACACAGGTTGGAATGCAGTGACATGATGGCTCACTGCAACCTCCACCTCCCAGGTTCAAGCAATTCTGCCTTGGGCTCCTGAGTAGCTGGAACTACAGGCATGCACCACCACATCTGGCTAATTTTTGTATTTTTAGTAGAGATGGGGTTTCACCATGTTGGCCAGGCTAGTCTCAAACTCATGACCTGAAGTGATCCCCCTGCCTTGCTCTTCCAAAGTGCTGGGATTAACAGGTGGGAGCCATCGTGCCTGGCCCCATCAGTGTATTTCATTTCAATTTGCATCTAGCACAGTGGACACTGGCAAAATGAACAAGTAAGGCAAACACAGTTTTGAAATCTAGCCTGGCACCCGATAAATGTTTGACATTTCTCCTACTCCCTTTTGCTGTGTGACCTGGGTAAATGACTTCCCCTCTCTGAGCTGCCATTATGTCCTCTGTAAATGGGGAAGAGTATGGGTTGAGCTGTGTCTCCCCAAAATTCGTATGTGGAAGTTGTAACACAGTCCCTCAGCATGTGATTGTATTTGGAGTTAAGGTTGTTATTGGAGAAGTAATTAGGTAAGGTTATCAGAACCTTCCAAGTCGGCACAGAGGGGAGGAAAAAGAACCACAGAGGACGAGGAGAAAGGACTGCTGGCTTGGGTCCCTGGTGCTGGGAACCAGCTGGATGCCAGGACACACCAGGCACAGCCAATCCCTCGTGAGTCCTCAGCGGGGGCACCCCGGGATGATTATGGGGTCTTCCTAGGGAGAGCTCACAGTCCCAGCCAAGGCTTCTAATTGCCCGGGGTCAGTGGGTCGCTGCACTAATCCTCCTGAGCACGTCAGAGGTCTCTGCCATCACTGAGGGGGGCTTCCAGAACTCCCTGGAACCTAATCAAGTCCAATTAACCAAAAAGGCAGGAATGTGGGCCGGGGCCTCAGCAGGGCTGCAGAGTTTCTCGGCAGGAGACCGGACTGGCCCAGAGACTGTCTCACTTGTGGGAAACAGACCCCAGGTCCCAGCCCCATCCAGAGCAGGGAGGGAGGGAACCCAGGCTCAGGTCAGTGGGATCTCCGTTCAGCGGGGCTTTGGGCTGTGGGATCCAGATGCAGGGACACCAGCCTTGGTGGTTAATTTCATGTTCTACTCACAGATGCATGAGAATTTAAAAGCCACATGTCAGTAAGGCAGACAGAGGAGGACAGATATTGCATGATTGCACTTACAGGAGCCACAGGGAATAGCCAATTCCTAGAGACGGAAAGTAGAAGTGAGACTCCCAGGGGCTGGGGGAGAGGACTACAGACGGACTGCTTCAAGGACCGGAAGTGATGATAAATGGGGGGTGTAGATAGTGGTGCTGGTTGCACACACTGGGAATGCATTTAATGTCCCAAATTGTACCTTCTAAGTGGTTAACATGGTCAGTTTCATGTATATTTTACTACAATGGCAAGAAAAAGAGTTTGAGTCTAAATTTGCAGTCAGCAGGTAACCACTTAAGGAAATTGGTTCATTAATGTATAGTTTGAATTATTAGTTACACACAATGTTTAAATATTTGGTGAAATATACTTGATAGATGGGAATGCTTAATAAAGTGAACATTAAAAATTGCAGGGGAGGCTGAGGTTGGACAATTTCTTTTTTTTTTTTT